CATCAATAGAAGAGAAACGAATACTTTAAAAAGTGTCACCAGGTTTGTCAGAATTCGTATAATCGTTGCAGTTATCTCAAATTTCTCGTAAGGTGCAGCTTGCAGTGTGAAGTTAGTGCTCACCGTCGTATAAGAAAGTAGAAGGAATCTGGTGGTCAAAAGGTGATAAGATAAATATAATTTTCTTCGTTTTGAAGTCCGTTAAACTAACCCTACTTCGTGCGTGTCAAAACCACAACTGAACCGATTATCTTATGTTATTTTCCAGTCAGAAAGTAGTTGGTCGTGAAATATGTGTCAGAGAAGAGCTGCTCGGGTTTCTTAGCTGATTTTAGAGTGAATCCGATATAAAATCTATATTTCTTTAGTTATCTGAGTTAATCGTCAATCGGACACCGTGACGAAGGGGACAAAATTCGACAATTTTGTATAAAATACTATTAGTCTGCTACTGTATTCGATTGAGATAGTTAAAATAATTTATTAGACAATTTCTGAAGTGGTAAATTAAGCCTGACAAAGCTTGAAAAACAAAACATTTGTTATTATGCCTTTTGTAGGTTAGGTGTGACGGAGGGAACATATATTAAATATTTTAACATAAATACTTATGGTGCGGAGCTTTTTTCAATTAAAACAGTCGTGTTTTAGCATGAGCAAACGTCTCCAGTTGTAAAAGAACCTTGCCACATCATTATAGTACAAAATATATTCGAGGTAAACCGTTTGGACAGCCACCCTAGCCATTTTGGGGGAATTACCAAGAAATAGGTGGCTGGGAGCTCGCTAAAGAACGTTTTCTTTCTCCATAGATACCCCTAATGCATTATAGATAGAAAAACCTCCATTTGCAAACGTTTTCAAAAACGAAAAAAAAGTGACCCAATATGCATCTTATTTGTGAAACCACCCATATATATCAAATAGACGTATTCTGTAGTTTTAAGAACATACGGATTATGTTTGTTTGAATATCCAATGAATAAGGAACGACGGGTATGCGTATGTCAAGTTCACATTGTCGGGAGTAAGAAATTGAGTAATTTTAATGTAGGCAATGTACGCAGACGAGCAGACGGAGTAGCGTCCGCTATAAACATTGGAGGCATAATTGTCATTCAAGTACAGCCTCCTTCACCCTGCGTGTCCACTTCCGCCTCTCTTGCCCGCTCGGCCGCGCGCCAGCTGGACGGGCCGAATGAGGTCGGGATTGAAGGCGATACTGTGAGGGCCGGGCTGCGCTGGACCTGGGACCCCTCGTAAAGTACAATCAAGCTGCCCTCAGCGGTTTGCGCGCGCTGAAACGCGTCGAAAAAAAATCTGTAACGAATGAAACGATTGGGTGTGCTGGTTGAACGTTACGCTGGGTGTGTCCGGGGCTGGGCTAGGGGGGCTGGACGCGCGCCAAAGTCGGCCGGATTGTGCTGGCGCGGGTCGATTGGGTACTCGCGCCGATGTTATGTCTTTTCTGCTATTATTCTCTCCCCATCGCAGTTTTGTGACTAACGATGTCTTTGTCTGTCTCGCTCCAGGCCGGATAGCTGCCGGGGAGGGCCGCTTCAACCAGCCGACCAACAGCGAGGTCATCATCAACTCGGAGGTGAAGTCCATCCCCGTCAACAAGAAAGGGGTGTACTTCGCGTTCCGGGATCAGGGCGCCTGCATCTCGCTGCTCGCCATCAAGGTAAGTCCCCGTTCCGAATCCCCGTAGACTACACCCCCCCCCCCCCGTCTCTTCCTCTCGCTTTGGACTGCGCGAGAGCTGCAGGAGTTTGTTTGAGTGAATGGTATAGAACGGGGTGGGTATAGCAGGCGGTGGTGTCCCTTCTAATGGAATCGTCTCTTACGCGGCTGAACGCGGAGCTCGAAACTCCTCCCTGAAATTAAAAGGACTTGTCTCAAGTTTCTGCGGAATCGGGGAATAAGGTGGGTCGGATGGGAGAGGAGGGGGCCTCTGGCGGGCGCGCGCGCCGGTAAGGCGTCGCGCGGCGTCACGTCTTCGCTCAGGAGCTCATCCGCCACACGAGGCTGCCCGGGGGACATAATGATAGTAATAATAATTTATTTCATTACGGGGAGTGCGTGGCAGCGCCACGCCACGCCCGGCACGACAAACGGAAACAACGTAACGGAAGGCGTCGTGATGTTATTCGCCTTGACGGGCCTCTGCACACGGCGCACACGGGCTTTACGACTGCGTCAAAGTTTTATCATTTGGCGACCGCAGCACAGAGCCGCTCGCTCGCCGCTGCTCTCGTGTCCGCCCGTCTGCCGCGCGCCGTGCGCACACCGGCGGGGCGAGCCGGATGGCGTACGCGCCGTAAAATGCCGGAAAAGGACGTAAATATACCGCTGTAGAAAATCTCCGCGCGGCAGCAACTCAAACGTCAACTAGCCGTTAAGCACTCCAATTTCGCCCTCCACCCACCCCACCCCCTCTTGCTCCATTTGTTATTATTGTTATTACGAGCGAAATGTAATAAAAAAACCTTACCTCGACTTATATTGCAGGTGTACTACATCACGTGCCCGGAGACGACGGTCAACTTCGCCCGCTTCCCGACGACGCCGACGGGTCGCGAGGTGACGGTCATCGAGCAGGCCACGGGCAAGTGCGTGGACAACGCCGAGGAGGTGGAGACCCCCACGTACCTGTGCAAGGGCGACGGCAAGTGGTACCTGCCCACGGGCGGCTGCAAGTGCAAGGCCGGCTTCGAGGCGGACGTCGAGAAGCAGTCCTGCAACGGTGAGTACTCTAGGGCTCTCCCCAGTGGGGCGGGGTGGGGTAGGCCAGCCCGCACGACACGCGTGCACAGCGGGCGTGCCTAGCCGCACGGGGCCCGGGATGGGTAGGGGTGGGGTAGGCCAGCCCGCACGACACGCTTGCACAGCGGGCGTGCCTAGCCGCACGGGGCCCGGGACGGGACTAGTTTCCGGCTGGACCTGCCCGAGAGCGAGTATGCTGGGCTTCGCGGTCGGGGCTGTTCGATTTGGTCCTGGCCGAGGAGGAGGCGGGCAGGGGACGGACAGTCATTAGACGCGGCGGGGCGGGGTTGGGGTCGACCCTTGTAAGTCGGCCGATAACTCTTGCCTAATTGAGGTTCGGGGCCCGCGCCGTGTGCGTCCTCGGCGGCACAACGTCACACTCTCACCGCGCGATTTGAAGCGGGATTCTGGAAAGAAAGCGTGGCACGACATAGGCTGCCCGCCGGGGGCTCGCGGCCGCGCCCCAGCGGTTGTGCCCCCGCCCCGCCTGTCGCGCGAGAGCTGTGGGGCGTTAAAATAAATCTTAAAGTTTGGTCGCACGTCTAGTTTTACAGCCAGCCGGGCAGGCAGCCGGCGCGGCGGCGGTCCCCTGGCGGCCGGCGGCGCCACGCCGCGGACCTCCTGACCTGGCCGGGCGATGCCTGATTTATCCCCGCCCGCCTTCACCTTTCTCCCCCCCCCCCCCCCCCCAACCAAACTACCACAACTTTTCCCAGTTATTTTCCATTTTTATTACACGGTCGTTTGCTCTCGTTTTCGGTTCGGGCTCCTCCGTTTGTCGTGGTGTCCGCGGAAGTTTCCCTGCGTGCTGCTGCAGCCGGCTTTGGCGGTGCACCTCGCGGGGGCGGGGGGCGGGCTGCCTCACCCCCCATAACGGCACCCGGAGCCGCGCGCCCGCCCGAGACTTATTTCACCTGTTTTTCGCAGAAGCATGTTTCTTTGGTCCGGGGCCCCGCGCCTGACACCGCCGGCCCGGCCCGCCGGGGTCATCGCCACGGGGTCATCGTATCGCCGCGCGCATTCTTCTGACACTCCAGTTTCTCCTTTTTATTTTATTTTTATTATATAAACCAGTCGACCTCACATTCACAAGATTTCTGGCCCAAGAAAGTTCGTGCAGATAGGACGCCCATCTCCGACCCCGATGGCTGCGATGACGCCCTCCCCCCTCAAATACCCCACTTCCTCCCGCGGTGCTTTCTTCGCAAGTCGCCCCCTCTGGAAACAGGCCTTAAAACGCCTGCGAAAGCGAGGACCGCACAAAATGGGTCTTGAGTACCGGTTACTTTATTCCATTTCGCTTGTCTGTTTCCGTATAAAATATTTTCCGCGCGCAACTGCGAACCAGAGGCGAAACGGCGGCCAGGGACATAACGCGAGCTCGCTGCATTGCAACCTCGGCTCCCCCCCCCCCTCTTCCCCGTCACCAGGCGGACAACTTTTTAATTAAAGGGGCACCCGTGTGTCGTCGCCGCCCCTCCCCGCTCGGCGCTTCATATCCCCAGCTGCAGTGCGGTCCCCCGGTCACCGTCCGTTTGTGCCGTGCTCGCCGTTTTCTTTCGCGGATGCCTAGCCTACTCTTAGCTTCTCTTTCGCTTGTACTCCTGTACCGGCTCCTTCTCTGTGGCCAAATACCTGCCTTTTTTATTATCATCAAAAAGGAAAGAGAATACGCGCGTTTTTCGTTTCTCTGTTTAGGTACCTGTTCGAAGGCCATGCCCGGCCGGCCCTACAGGCCTATACCAGCCAGATTGCCTCCCCCACCCCTCTTTTAAGCCCTCCTCCCCGGACAGACGTACAGACACAACGTCGGACCGTTCCTGGGGCTCCTGTGCCGACATTCCCTGTTATCTTATGTGCACCGCATCATCCCCTTCCCTTCCCGCTGTACTACCGTTGTTGAATAAAAAGCTAGTCAAACCACTTCCGTGGAAACCTGGCTCTCACGAAACAGATGCACCAGAAGCCGACTATCTTCGAAACCTATTTAGTCGTAAGACACTTGCGAGACAATGTCTCGGGGTATTAGTAGATAGTCATTCATTCGGTATCGACATCGACTTGATGCCATAAATAGAAAATCTATAGACTGCCTTTTAGTGCATTTGTGCTTTCCGAGGTGCGCGGGGG